GCTGCCGTCTCTTCTACCTGTACCACCAGTTGTGGTACCGGTAATAGAAGAAAAATAATCGTAGCTCTTAAAGCATTCTGCAACAAACGGTTCAGTGCTAGTTCAGTCAAACCTTCACCCTCTTCAATAGGTGTCGCAATATCATCTCTCCTAGTGGAGACACCTCTCGGGGGAATCAAGTCCCTAAGAAGTGTATCCTCATCAACTTGTTCTGCAGGATTAAAGCTAGAGCTTTCACCAACATCACCCCTTGTTGGCCTAGAGCCAACTTTCCTTGGTTCCTTCCGCGGTGGCATCGTACTATAAAATGAGAAAACGATTCAACACTAATGACACTAAGGTCAAACCGAGGATGACTCAACACAAATGATACTATACTAACACTTAACATGCAAGACTATGCAACAAGTACATCAACACAAGCATATGAGCACATAAACACGTAAATAAGTAAAAAATTAAGCATGCTCTGCAAATAACAAACTCCTTAGTAAATAATCACATAAATATGGAAATAACTTCTTATACAACTCTAGGTAGGCCTCTACCCGTCGTCTTAAGGGTTTTTCGAACCATTGCTCTGATACCAAGCTTGTAACAACTCGAACCTGTAGGTCCGGACCGTTAACCAGGTCCTTACCTGAACCCGAGGTCACCTAAGTCAATTCCCATTAAGTCTAGTATCATTACATCATTCTTAAGTTATAATCATGCTTCACAAAGGTTCTATGCGACTTCTCACAAATTATGATGAATTTTGCTGAAGAAAAGAACAAAATGGGACAAGACAGCAGCACAGTTCGGTCAATCGAAGTGCAACTTTGGTCGGTCGAAGCTAGTCCTCCAGAACCGGTCAGCCGAAGTGGCCAACCGATCGACCAGTTGTGCTCCCCAATAGTAGCAGAGGCTACTGGAAGAACCGGCCAGTCGAAGTGCCCATTTCGGTTGACTGAAATGGCTCTTCGAGCTGTAGTTCAGCTGCTGAAATGCTGTGATCGTGAAAATGAAGTGAGGCTTTGGTAGGAACCTTAAAACTGCTCTAAACCTGTTCCACACACTTTAAAAGTGATATTCCATACTATGATCAGAAGCATCGACGATTTATCACATTGCTATACGTTTTTCATTCATTCCACATATGAAAAACATAGACTTTACACTTGATTCAGCTTACAATAAAATACTATCAAAAGTTTGAAGTTACATTACAAGCTACGTTTTACAGTATGATACATTTCAAATGATGCTTTTACAAAAGAGGAGCTCAATATACAAAAGATAGCAAAAGAAATGAACTTCTAGTCCCTTTCAAACTTGTGGTGGATTATCATCCGCCACCTCCTTCTCGTGACCTGAAAAATGTTAAATATAAGGGGTAAGCAAAATTGCTCAGTAGGTGGTGCTTAAAACATACATCTTGTGACCCCGTGAATCCAAACAATGAATAGAAAAAATAGAGAACGAGATCATGCTATGTCAGGAAAAATACAACACAATTTCAGTATCATAATAAACAATGTCATGCCATGAATTGGAATGCCATGCTATTTCGCTCCCTATTTTCAAAATCACTTCCATTTCTTCACTTTTCAAACCGTTAATATAACCCGTCCCTCGGTGACCCCTTGGCGACACGAGAGAAGGATTGGTTACTGTCCCTAACCCTTGGCAACCCTGCGGCATCATTTGTGGTCCAGATAACTCAACCATGCTAGGTCGATCTCCCTAATTCCCTCTAGGTTACATTAACGCCACGGGCCATCGGTACTCCTTTGGCATCCGGGTTTTCACGAAATCATTTTATCAAATCTTCTTCCCAAAATCCCCTTTTTCATTCATTTTAAATCAACTTTCCTAATTCCTTGCCCAATGTCATACATGAATGCATTATGTTTTTTCATGTCATGCCAATGTCCACTATTATACATCTAATTTAAGCTCAATCACATAGCATATTCTACGAGAAAATCCTAAAGAAATATCATGCTTTCATGTCATAAAATTTGGCAATTTCTAAACATAATAGGCAAGGAATATCACCAATTAAGCATGCTAATTTACACAAATATCAACTACACACATAATCACATACTTCATTTACAACAATTTAAGCATCTTGAAGAAAAATAAACATAATTTAGCATGCTATACAACAAATCATATAGAAAAATTCACAAAAGTGCAAAAAGTTATGGACTAAGAACCCCTAACTCAAATGAGATGAAAAACCCCAATTTGGTGCCCAATTTTGAAATTCCTAGGGTTGGCCAAATGGTGAATTGCTTATATCAATACGCAGATCATGACAAGCTCTCCATTTTTCCGCAAACGGCACCCAAAATTTCCAAAAGATGAGAAAGTAATCAAGGATTGGAGTTTACTTTGAAAAAGAAAAAGAAAAATGATTAAATGTGAGGGAGAGAGGAAGAAATGAGGCCAAACATGACCTCTTAGCCACTAAATCAAAGTTAGTGGTGGGTCCTACCACTAAAAATCCAACCTTTTGTATTTATTTTCCACTACAAAATTGTATTTGCACCAATATAATAGCACCACACAGTAAAACTTCCAACAACTAAATTATGCACAATGAAATAATTTATGACATGCAATAGACCCAAAATAAAATCCCTGTGCATAACAATTTTGATAGTGGGTCCCGTCCGGGACCGTCTGGCTCAAAAAAGGGAAAAATATTGCAATGGCAACCCTTATATTTTAAAGAGTCCTGAACTCAATGAAATACCCTAACCAATTCTTGGGCATATCCAGCACACCCCACGGTGTCCGGTACGCAAAACGAGAAAGGACAAAGATGCCCTTGCATTACAAAAAATTCCAGAAAAATGGAAAATGGTGAAAAGTAAAAATATTACAAAGGCCCTAAAATATAAGCTCCAAAAATGGCCTACAATGGAGGAATGTGATGGTTTACAGAAGAAGAAGAAGGAAAAAAAAAAAAAAGGTGGAAGAAGACTGAAGCATATACATGAATTATCAGTCAAAAACAACTGCACAAACTGCCACCTAAGTGTGTAGGTGTCCATTGCATTCATGGTTGAAATTTGACCAAAATACCCCTCCAATGCTACTAATTCACTAAAATGCCATTTCGATATCAAAAGTCCATTCTACCCCCAAATAAATAACAAATGACATGTAAAATGATTAATTACAATTAATAAAATAACACGAAATCCAAAAATCCCGGCGTGGGACCCACACGGGTCTCCCAAAAAATTGCAAAATGGCAAAAAATGCATATCAATACATCCTAAACTCAACAAAACACCCCAAATCAACATAAAAAAAAAAAAACCCATGACACGCAACTCGAGGTGCAAAAATGAATAAATGCAAAAATGGCAAAAAATGCCCGAAAAAATAAAAATTGCGAAACATCACATTAGCCACAGTTGATAGCCTAATTTCCAGCAATCATTTGATGGTTCCTTTATCATTGAGTTTCCCTCAGTTCTTTTAGTTTTAGGACTTTCTCTCCCAACTGTACTCCTTACCTCCTCCCTCTGAACAGCAGGATAGCATTATGTGGTTGCCTAGTCCTTCTGGTATCTATTCATTCTTTCATACAACTGCTTACTTTACACCACCATCCCCAATTTTTGTTTGGCATAAATTAATTTGGTTCAAGCATCATCTACCAAAGCATAGCTGCATAACTTGGTTAGCAGTAAGAGGTAGGCTATACGCTCTGGACTCCAAGCCAATGCTTCATAAGCCCTATGTCAATAGATGTTACCTATGTCTTGCTGAGAGTGAGTCTATGGACCACTTGTTCTTCAAGTGTAGTTACAGTTCACATATTTGGAGATTTATCCAGGTTTTATATACTTCCCAACTGTTGGATGGATTTGATACAGTGGTGTTCAACTCATTGGACTTCATTAGGTTTCTTGACACACAAGCTCCTATTGTCTGCAGCAATTTACTTCCTTTGGCAAGAGAGAAATGGAAGGGCTTTCAAGAATGTTTTTACTCCTCCTCACCATATTATTTCCCAAATCAAGACTTGTATCATAGCAAAGCTTGCAACAATCAAGTTAAAGAGGAATGCTGATCTTACACTAATCACAACTGAGCAAGACCTTCATAGTTTGTTTGTGCAGTCCTGTTCCACATCCTGTGTGCACTCTTGGCTAGTCTTATAAGGTTCTAGTTGGAGGTTATCAGTGTTAGTATTGTATTGTTATGCATTTTCACTATTGTAGCTAATGTTTTGGTTTGAGGTTGCATTAGGCTGCCTCTAGTTGGTTTTGTTCATTTCTGCACTTCCCCATCTCGGGGCCCATGTACATTGTTTCTCACTTATATACAAGCTTGCCCTTTAACCATGAAAAAAAAAAAAAAGAGAGAGAGAGATCATTATTTTTTTTTTTAACTTAACCCTTTAAATAATGAATAAATTAATATGTTCGAATTTGATAAATAGAAACATATTCCTTGTTATTCTTAATATAACTTAAATATATATTTGGTCGAGTATTATTATGACGAAAAGATAGCTTTGGCCTGGTGCGTAGAGAGCTTGGTCACTGATAAAATTATTTATGGACTTGGGCACGAACACTCTAGGGAACCGAATTTCTGGAGTATTAGGTGATTGAATGACTATAGGAAGAAATTTCTTAAAAAAGAAAAACTACCAAATTCATACCATTCATTATTTTATATTATATATTACAATTTTTTGTTTTTTTATTAAAAAATAATTTGTTAAGGCTGTAGAGAAAGATTAAATTATCTCAATCTTATAAGATTTTGAATAGAAAAAATAAGTTCGTTCATTATACCCGGCTATGTGGAAAGAAAAAAATAAAAATGAAAACTTTCTGTTTTGGCAATATCATTGGGTAAGGCTAGGAGTATATATATAATATATGTACGTGTAAAGAGAATGTAGATCACAAAACCTAAAAACCCTTTCAAGTTTTAACATAAACCCTTGTGCCGCTGAAAAGCGGCCGGCGGACTCCAAGAAAATGGAGGGAAAGAAAAAGCAAATGCAGGCTGCAATAGAAGAAAGCGACCTACCAAGTCTTCCATGCGACATCATACACAATATACTCTTGAAACTACCCGTCAAGTCTTTGCATCGATTCAGGTGCAAATCAATACGTTCTGTAATCTCTGGACCCGAATTCGTCAAAACTCACCTAAACCAATCCATTAAATTGGACCGCCAAAGACTCCTTTGCGGCCGGATAAACCATACAAACTGGTTCTGTTCCATACACTATGAAACCTCTGACAATCCAGTCGAAAAACTGTTCTCACCAATGATTGAATACTATTGTTCTTGCGATGGTTTAGTATTATTGAGTGGTCTTGGCCACGGCCACGACTCTATGTGGCTTTTGTGGAATCCATCCACTACAGCGTACAAAAAGTTCAGAGGCCCGTTTTATGGTTATAAATTGTGTTTATATGGACTATGTTATGACTCTTCCGTTGATGATTACAAGGTGGTTCTTATATGTAAACGAGAGGTCACCCATTACGGTAATTATGAGGGATTTGTTTATGTGGTTTTCCCTTCCAAGGATAATTCTTGGACACAACCTAGAAAGTTTACTCATAATCCTATTTTGAGTGAGATTGGAGTTAATGTGAATCGAGTGTGCCATTTTTTTGTGAAATCGGATAATAAGGATTTGTATGATAGTAAAACATATGCAAATATAATTTTCTTCGATCCTGTGAATGAGGAGTTCGAAGAGATGCCACCACCAATTTGTATAGGTGAAGGGGATGTATTTGGTTTGATGGTGGTGAAAGGATGCCTTGGTTTATACTGCAGTACGCCTGATGGAAATCAGGCTGGGGTGTGGGTCATGAAGGAATATGGTGAGATGAATTCTTGGATTAAGTTGTTCGTCATCAAACATAGTCTGCAACCAACCTCATTTTCACGAAATCACTTAAGGCCGTTGTGTGTTACAAAGAAAGGTGAAATTGTGATGGTGATGAATGAAACAATATTGCCATCTATAATCCTAAAGAAAACACGTCTAGGAACCTTGTGACCCCAGAAAATACGAGGTTTTTCAAACTGTTTTTATTTGCGGATACTTTAGTTTTACCCAATCGTAACTAGTTGATTAAGAGCCAACGGCATACTCAAGGGAAAGGAATAAGTAGGTAATTCAAATAATCTCTCTATATCAATTTCTGATATATATATATATATATATATATATATATATATATATTTCTTTCTTTGGTTGGTACTTTCTTTATCCCTCGTATTCTGAAAATTTTACTCCTCATACCATTTAAAATAAAATAAAATAAAAAATTTACTTCTCATTGGAAAACGTGTCCCTATATTTGATTTTTCATTTATATTCAAATTTTATTTTATTTTATTTTTTTAAACCTCATACTATGTTTCTCTCATGTCCAAACAGAGACTACAAGAAGGAGACGTATTGCAAACACTTACCAAGCTTTGTTGTTAGCCATGCTTAACGGAGAGAGATGTTAGGATTAGCTACCAAAGAAGGATATAAGTTTTGGAGTACTGTTTCTTCCTACAATATTTATTTTTATATTTCTCAGTAATGACTATTTTGATATATATCCACTAGTAAATTGGTTTTTATGGAATTGAATTTTTTATGGTTCAGAGTTATTTGACCATACTGATCTTTGTCTCATGATGCATCAGAAACATGCTTTACATTGTGTGTATGTGTGTGTATTTTAAAAAAAAAAATTTAAGGTATATTATAAAAGAGACCCCTGATTACACCGAGAAAAAACAAAATGCTTGGAACAGAGCAAAGCTCAATAAAACCGAGGCTGACTCTATTGCATAAGCAAAGCACTTCTTGATTATGTGAATGTTTATATTCTGCTTTGCTTAAATTGGTGAGATTTTGACCTATTTGATTATGAGAATGTTATTGCCTTCTTTGAGTGGGAAACAGATTTGAACCAATTTGATTATTTGGAGTTTTACCTAATGTTGCTTCATCTGTTCTGTTGCTATGGTCTTTCTGTCCTTTCCTACTTGTTAGAGAATTAGATTGTCTTTCTGTCCTCTACTATTTTGTGGTTGTTGCATCCTTTTTGCATTTTAGATTGTCAACCAAATTCATAGTAATGGTGGTAAATTTTCTCACCATGTCATTTAGGTTTCGAGAAAAACTTCAGACATTTCGGCTTTTCCTGAAATTTTACCTGACGTGTTCTCGATCATTTTGTTTGGGAGTAATAGATGTTTGATGTGTTAGAGGCGTCATGTTATTAATCTACCCATCCAATAACAATGCGTTATTTAGAATGTGTCTATCAAAGTAATTTATGTATATTTACGATCAAAGACACAATATTTAGAACAGAAAATTTGACCTCGCACATAATGACCAAAATACTTCCATACGCAGATAGATTTTTTCAAAAAGAGAAGAATATATATATATATATATATATAGCTCATTCTCAATTCTATTGTTATATTTCCATACAATAGTACCCATAAATAACCACCGCAATGTATATGATAGTATAGCTTGGCAGGTTAGAGAAATTAAAAAGAAAACGAAAGTAGAAAACAAATTACACACTCACATACACACATATATATACACGTAATACGGAGTAATTTATTTTCCATTTGTATTGTTATTATCCATCATCAATACAACTTTTATTTATAATATATCAAATCATGCATGCATGGACTTAAACAAGTACCATCTCTTAGTAAGGGCGTTGCCCTACGTAGTTGCCAGGAGGATCGTAGTTGCAACTCACAAACCACCACCCATTGTTGCACTTAACCCTAGCACACCCGAGCCGGACCGAATTGCGCCAAACCACCTGAGTATAGTGCAAGCACTCACCCCCAACACACGAGTTCGAGTTGTGGTTATAGTTAGCCTTCTCTCCCACCCACATGTTCACTGCAGCCCGGCCAGTGAAGTCACCACTGCCCGCCGCTAGGTTCTCTCCGTATGGCCTATTCGTCGAATGCACCATGTTGCAATCTCCAATCCTCTGGTTCGCGTAGTTCTGTGCAAACGCGGCCACCTTGTCGTCCCATGTCATGGGACCAACACCAACAGCTGCACGAGCCGCGTTGTGGGCGTCGAGGTAGTCTTGTCTTGTGTTCTGGGCTTGAGAGGAATGAACCATGGCTAACCCTAGGAGAAAAAGAAGTGTGAGTGATATATTAAACAACCCCATTTTGGTTTATGTATTTTTTTCAAGCCAAAATGTTGGTTATGATGAAAAATGAGAGAACTAAAATGGGGTATATATAGGAATGATCATGTGGAAATTCTCTCTTTGAATAGTAAGAATACTAAGTGTGATGTAATGGCCTGAAATTTGTGTCCCCACACGTTCACAACTCGATAATTCATTGGATGAACTTTGTGTGAGTCCAAGCTCATCCAATTTAAAGAAAAAAAATTCCACCGCAAATGCAGGAGCTTTATCAAACTAGATTTAAATTTTTGTATTCTTTGTATAATGTGTTTACTTTTCCGTCATGTTTCATATTGAATTTGCTGCGTTTGTTGTAGCAGTTTAAATTGATTGTAGCAGTTCAAATTGATAAACATCACGCAACCATTTAAGGGCCGCCCTTTGAACATGGTTAGAGTCTTACAGACCTGCCGTGATCATTGGGCAAGTTTTGAAAATGATTTAACTTATAGTAGATAAGCCATCAAAGGACTTGGCTTTTTCTTTCTTCATTGATGTGATGTGCTCCTAAATATTTAGTCTGCTTCATGATTTACTTGAAAAATTAAACTAGAATTTTCTTTAATTGCATGTATTGACAATATTTTCGTACATGAATGTGCTATTGCTTAGTAAATTTCTATAGAAATTTCAAAGGAGTAATTTTCCTTGTTGAATCTTCTGGATAAGGTGGCATATCCACTTAGATGCGTAGTAGACTCAAGACTTTGAACGACAACACTGTTTTCCAAATTATATATCTTGGTTTTACTTTCTATCTTTCTCACACTCTCCAATTGCGGTCTCAAATGCTTCATTGAATCTAAATTGTCCACCTAACAATACCAAATTTCTATTTCTTTTTTCTTCTTTTTCTTCTTCTTCTTCTTCTTCTTCATTTTCTTTTTATTTATTTTTTGTAAATAACATTAGCAAATTAATTTCATTTATATATTGTTCACAATAATGCTGCGTTTGATTTGCGAGAATGAAATGGAATGCAAATGGGATTGGAATAGAATGGTCATTCTCATTCTATTATTTGGTTGTAAGTATGAGATGTGTAAGAATGAAATGATAATAACCATTTTTGTGTTTAGTTGGACCAATTTAAAATTTAGAATATAATAATTTTCAATTTAAATTATTCAAAATATCTCTCTTAGTAACAAATAAATAAAATTAACAAAATGACATTCTCTAATAATTTTTTAAAAAATAAATGGTGGCAATGGATGGTGGTGGAGGTGGAAAGTGGTAGTAGTGTAGATGGTGGTGTTGGAAAGCGGCGATGGTGGCAATGGTAAAAAGCGGTGGCGACAGTGGTGTTGGTGGAAAGCGGTGACAGTAGTATGGTGGTGGTGGTGAAAGGAAATAGTGGTGTAAGTAGTAATGGTGGAAGTCAATGGAGGTGAATGTGGCGGCAGTGGAAGGCAGTGGATGTAACAACCCTCACCCTAACCGACTCTCCTGAACCAAAGGCTTTTCAGGGATCACCCATCCTAATACCAGGTTGTAATTAGATGTGTAGAAGACTCAAAACTTTGAACTACAACAATATTTTCCAAATTATATTTCTTGGCTTTACTCTCTATCTTTCTCACACACTCTCCAATTGCGGTCTCAAATGCTTCATTGACTCTAAAAAATCCGCCTAACAATACCAAATTTCTTTTTCTGTTTTCTTCTTTTCTTCATTTTTTTTTTTTTTTTTTTTTTTTTTGTTGTAAATATCATTAGTAAATATATTGTTCAGAATAAGAGTTTCAGAGAATTCAATTCAGTTGTGTTAGCCGTTATTTGATTATGCTCCCTTTGGGTTTGTTTGGGTTTCTTATTACTGTTTTTTTATTTATTTATTTTCCTTCCTGGCAAATGGTTAATAGTTAGTTTACTTTTAGCGTTTCATTTCGGGATTTTTTTTTTTTTTTTTTTCGACAATGGCTAGGAATTTAGTCGAAAGAAGGTGAATCAAAAATCTAGGGTGGGGCACTTTCGGGCCCTTTTATCACTCGATATTTTGTTACTTCTTTGTTTGCTATTACTTTTTCCACAATTGTGACCCAAGCACTATTTTACTCTTTATATATATATTTTTTATAATCCAAACTGGGAATACAGAAACTAGAAGGCTTGGTAGAGGACTCGAACACTGGCCTCTTGTGTGACAGTCCCAAGCCTCACCATCACTGCTAGTCCGCCGGGAGCAATTATTCTATATTATTACTTCACTTAATTCTATGTTTATGATACGTTACAAGTTTTAAACTCTATAAAAAAGAGAGTTTTCTACAATATCATATGATCCCAATTGTCATGCTCTTCCACTTGATTTTCCATCTATCCTACTTCAAACAATCTTAAGATTCAAAAAAATTGGACCATTTCTCGATTTGTGCGTGTCATCCTTGCGCAGGGGCATGCTAATCTTCTTTGGACCGTTCCAATTTTATCGAATGCCTCCGAAGGGACAAAAGGTAATTCCATGTATATATATATATTGAGAGAGAGTGAAGGGAAGTTTTTTTTTTGTTTTAATGTAAAAAGGAGTTAAAATTCATCACTCTAAAATTTACAAGAGATACTAATTCACTGAACTAGAAAGACAATAAAACTATGAAAATATGTAATTAGCAATATACTAAATAATTTTACCGAATAAAAACATGACTATTATGAATAGATATAAATTATTCAAGATAGGCGCAATTCTTCAATAACATACTATTAGCAATCGGTGTAGGCAGTTTAAGCACATCAACCCTTGGATTCATTTGCAACTCGTACTTGCATTATCAATTGGGCTTTAGTTTCAGCGCGCTGAATGTGTTTGTACACCCTACTCATGATTCAATGTGTTCTTTGTTCTTGCAAAGGACAATAACAGCAACTCCTAGCACAAAGGACAAGGAACCCTAATATCATATGATCCCAATTGTCATGCACTTCCACTTGATTTTCCATCTATCCTACTTCAAACAGTCTCAAGATCCATATCTCGCAAACATTGCCCAACATCATGTTACTACTATTTTATAAAAATCATAATTACCATTAATTTTTTATTATTGTGATAATTATTCTATATTATTACTTCACTTAATTCTATGTTTATGATGCGTTACAAGTTTTAAACTCTATAAAAAAGAGAGTTTTCTACTATTTTTTGAAAAGAGATATACTCGAGCTTAACATTTTTTGGGAAATATATGAGTGTAAGGTTGTGAGCTTTATTATTAAAAACTAATGATACGTTTGGTGTGCAGGAATGGAATGGAATGGAATGTCCATTCCAACCATTCCTTTGTTTGGTGTGCAGGAATGGAATAGAACGGCCATTCCTTTGGAATGAAAATTCATTCTTGGGAATAAAAATCCATTCCACAACTAAACCTATGAAATGGCCATTCCATTCCCAAGTAATTGTTTTTAAAAAATCGACTTCCCAAAAAACCCTCATATTCTAAGTCCAAAAACCACCAACCACCTCTGCCTTTCACCACCACCGCCGCCGCCGCCACCGCCGCCTTCCACCACCACCACCACCACCACCACCATCGCCACCGCCACTACTACCAGCTTTCACCACGACCACCACCTTCCACCACCACAGCCACAGCCTACACCACTGCCGCCTCCTTCCACCACCACCTTTCACCACCACCATCGCCGCCACCGCCTTCCACCACCACCGCCGCCGCCAACGCTTTCCACCACCGCCATCGCCGTTGACCACCTTCCATCACCATCACTGCCACCTTCCACCTCCGCCACCGCCGCCGCCTTCGCAGCCATAGCCACGGCCACCTTCCACCTCTGCCACCACCTTCCACCACCACCGCCGTCGCAGCTACCACCACCATCGTCACCTCCTTCCACCACCACTGCCGCCGTTACCTTTATTGCCTTCCACCGCCACCATAATCACACCACTATCTCCTTCCACCACAACCACCACACTACTGCTACCGTCTTCCACCAACACCACTACCACCTTCCACCACCACCACTGCTGCCACCACTTTCCACAATTACCACCACCGCCACCTTCCAATACCACCACCTACACCACTATCGCTTTCCACCATCCACCACCACCACTGCCACCATTTGTTTTTAAAAATTTATTAGAAAATATCATTTTGTTAATTTAATTTATTTATTATTAAGAGGGATATTTTGGAGAATTCAATTAGAAATTTATTCCATTCTAAATTTTAAATTGGTCCAACCAAACACTAGAATGGTTATTATCATTCCATTCCTACACATTTCATATTTACAAACAAACAATGGAATGAGAATGACCATTCCATTCCATTCTCATTCTCATTCCATTCCCACTAGTATTCCATTCCATTCCTACACACCAAACGTATCCTAATAGTTTTGGGCAACGTAGACACATACTAGTACAAATTTATCTCTGCACGTAAGGAGGGCATATGATTTTAGGACAGTGTTCGCATGCCTCTTATTATCCATGTCAATTCTTTCCTATATAGTTTTCCTTGATTTTCTATTATTTATTGAATTAATATTTTATTACTGAATTGTATTAATCATTTTATTGAAATCACTGTGTATTTGTATTGATTTTTTTTTTTTTTTTTTTTTTTTTGGATGGTAAAGCAAACACACACACACTTTTTTACCCACGCCCAGGCTCGAACCCCTCTCCTCTTCTTTAAAGAAGAGGAGATTATACCATTAGGCCAAAGGCCCTTTGGCTATTTGTATTGATGTGTTGTTCTCTAGTATTCTAATATTGTATTATTCATTTTGGCAATAAATTTAATCCATACTTTATCAAATTCCCCTCCACAAGCTACCTACACTCTTTCTCCCATTTCACCTTTCTTGCCCCAACCTTTACTAGTCACACCCCACACCCCAAACTATCTCCATGTTCAACCTTTGAACACTACTATGGAAACCTGCAATCCCACCCACTACCAATATTCTCAGATGGACGACCACCAAACCTAAAACTCATTTGACAAGTCAACTAATTATTGCCCAACACTCAAAAACACAATTAAAAAACTTATAGATCAATCAAATCAAAGCTCAAAGTTCTTAAGCTCCGATTGTATATATTTATTGAGGTCTTAGCCTCTATTTATAAATAATTCACAAGTAATTAACTCCTTTTAGACTGCATTGCTTGTCCCTTAAGCATCTCAATCATAATATACTATCCTTATCGTAAGGATTTACATTATTTGTTTTCCTTAAATTATAATCCTTTTTTCTAATAGAATTACTACTAAAAATGGACTTATTGGTAATCTAGCCTAGAACTCCATTGTTTTTTTTTTTTTTTTTTTTTTTTTCTTAGTTGGTACTCACACACACATGCCTTCACTGAGTCTTAAACCCTTGACCTCCCTTTGGGAAGTAAGGTCTGATACCGCTAGGCCACCGGCCCGTTGGTAGAACTCTATTGTTTCGGACCTTCTTAGTGTATCCAGCCCACAATATTCGGTTGTGCCGATCCAGACTTCTTGCTAAGGCCCAATTTGAAAGTTGAATAGTCTTTGTATTTGTAGTGGACCCCTCATGTGATGACGTGTCGTCTTTTTATTGGTGGAAAAGTATTTTCCCTCCACATATGGTCTTTCATTACCACCATCTAATCCCAAACCTATGGTCTTCCATCTAAACCCAAACCTATGGTCTTTCATTACCACCAACCTTCCACCTCCAAAGGGACCTTCTTGTTAACCCACCTAAGGAAATTTCTGTAGGAGGCATAAATGAGTGGAATGCTACTCTAGTAGGCCATTTTCTCAACAACAAAATGGCATAGAGATTCATCCAATCCCCTACACAGAAGCTTTGGGGCTCCAAAGGACTCTTGGAAGTGATTGCCAACTCCCAAAGGCATATTAATTTCCTCTTTAGATTCATCAATGAAGCCTGGCCTCTATTAACCTCAACCTACAAGAGGGTCCATGGACATTTGGTAACAAGCTTTGTGTCAAGTGTTTTTTAACTTCGATCTCACTTCAGTTCTACACAACTAGTGGCTTGAGTTGCATTGCGAATGCCATAAGGAGACACCTTTATGTTGATCAATGCACTCAGAGCTTGAAAAGAATTGATTTTGCTAGAATATGCATAGAAGTTAAGCCTACAAGCACTCTCCCAGAAAGTTTCATGCTCAATGTAGGTGATTGTCAAATAACCCAAATCTCAGTTCACCCCTGGAAACCCTCTTCATGTACCGATTGTCAAACATCTGATCACTCCATTGCCCAATTCATGAAATAATGCAATGTCTCTTATCTTCTGGTAAAGAAGTCCCCTAGACCACATGGATACACTTCCCTCTTATTCAAAAGCTCTTGGCACATTATAGGAGCAGAAATCACTATGGCATTATAGATTTCATCATTTCTGGGAGACTACTAAGAAAAATCAATTCCACCTTGATCGCCCTTGATATTTTCTACAAGTGTATCTCTAAATTAATCACCAAGAAGCTCAAGCCAATCTTACTTTTCTTCATTAACCAAGCTCATTCACCTTGCATCAAAGATAGGAGAATCGGAAACAACATCGTCTTGGCTCAGGAATTGCTCGGAGGTTACCACAGACACTCTAGTCCTCCAGGGTGTGCTATTAAAGTTGATTCGAGGAAAGCATTTTATACCCTAGGTTGGGATTTCATATCAGATATTCTCCTATTAATGGGATTCCCAATAATGTTCATTCACTTGGGTAAAGCTTAGCATTACCTCTCCTTGTTCTCAATCTCCATTAATGGGAAAAGTCATGGATCCATCAAGAGTTTTTTGGGAATCAGACAGGGTGACCCTCTGTCACCATTTCTTATTGTTTTAGCCATGGAGGTTCTCCCCTTGGTCTTAGTAAAAAAAAAAAAAAAAAAAAAATCCAATAACTCTAAATTCTCCTTTCACTGGAGACGTCAGCCTTTTGGCTTCACACAATCTTTGCTCATAACTTGTACACCGAGTCTTCTCTCCATGCTACATAAAAGTGGTGTAAACAGAATCAGAATCATGTAATAAAATAGTGGCTTCAACCGTGCATTAACAACCCTTATATTGTACAGAGTCTTCTCTCCATACAACACAATCTTCTAACAAGCCTCTTATTCTTTTCATTCATTACAAATTTTATTTTAACATTAGATTTGTGTACTTTCATGAATTGCAGGGCCCATTGATGATGAGCCTATAGGGACGCTGGCCAACTACATTGCTCGGGGATCATAGTTACAAATGACGAACCACGGGTCATTGTTGCACCTCACTCGAGCACACCCTACACGAACTGATCTTCTCCAAACCACCTGTGTGTGGTGTCTGCAACCATTCCCACCATTCAGGAATTAGATTTGTAGTTATAGATAGACTTCTCACCAACCCACAAGTGCACTGCACCGCTACCAATGGCAAGGTTCTCGCCATAGGGGCCACCGGAGTGGACCAGTGCGCAGTCACCCCTCCTCCGGTTAGCGTAGTTTTGGCCATAGGCTGCAACCTTGTTGTCCCACCAGTAATTCCGGGTAATTCCTTGTTGAACAAAAAAAGTAACAAATTTATAAAGAACAAAAAAGAATCACATTTCAGTTCCTAGCAATAATGTTGCCTAGATGTGCAACAAACAATTCATTCCAAACATTAGTAATTCCTGGTACGCACCAGTGCATGCGGTGTGTGGGTGATGATTCACTATGTCTCTCGCTCTCCGCGCGCAATTTCCCTCTTACTTTCATTCTGTGTGACTTAAATTTTACTGTTTTCACGCTCCCACTGTATAATTTAGGAAGTGCCTCCACAGTTGTAATTCACCAAGCATGTTTGGTAACTAGAGAGAATATATATATATATATATATATATATATATGAAAACGAAATAGAAGTCTAGTAAGGTATATATGACTACTAATTTCATTTTCAATTCTGTTGTTAAATACACTTTTTAAACACATACCATAATTAGCTACTGTTACAGAAAAAACCATAGCTGATAAAGTAACAAATTTATAAAGAACAAAAAAGAATCACATTTCAGTTCCTAGCAATAATGTTGCCTAGATGTGCAACAAACAATTCATTCCAAACATTAGTAATTCCTGGTACGCACCAGTGCATGCAGTGTGTGGGTGATGATTCACTATGTCTCTCGCTCTCCGCGCGCAATTTCCCTCTTACTTTCATTCTGTGTGACTTAAATTTTACTGTTTTCACGCTCCCACTGTATAATTTAGGAAGTGCCTCCACAGTTGTAATTCACCAAGCATGTTTGGTAACTAGAGAGAATATATATATATATATATATATATGAAAACGAAATAGAAGTCTAGTAAGGTATATATGACTACTAATTTCATTTTCAATTCTGTTGTTAAATACACTTTTTAAACACATACCATAATTAGCTACTGTTACAGAAAAAACCATAGCTGATAGTACTCTTTCTTGTAGCAGTGACATAAGGGCGCTGCCCTGCGTAGTTGCCAGGAGGATCGTAGTTGCAACTCACAAACCACCACCCATTGTTGCACTTACCCTAGCACACCCGAGCCGGACCGAATTGCGCCAAACCACCTGAGTATAGTGCAAGCACTCACCCCCAACACACGAGTTCGAGTTGTAGTTATAGTTAACCTTCTCTCCCACCCACAGGTTCACTGCAGCCCGGCCAGTGAAGTCACCACTGCCCGCCGCTAGGTTCTCTCCGTATGGCCTATTCGTCGAATGCACCATATTGCAATCTCCGATCCTCTGGTTCGCGTAGTTCTGTGCAAACGCAGCCACCTTGTCGTCCCATGTCATGGGACCAACACCCACAGCTGCACGAGCCGCGTTGTGGGCGTCGAGGATGTCTTGTCTTGTGTTTTGGGCTTGAGAGGAATGAACCATGGCTAACCCTAGGAGAAAAAACAAGTGTGAATGATATATTAAACAACCCCATTTTGGCTTCTCTGTTATTCTTTTCTAGCCAAAAATGAGAGACCTTAATTGGGGATATATATAGAAGTGATCATGTGGAAAGTCTCTCTTTCAACATGATTACAGACTCTGCCGTGACCCTTGGGTAAGCATGAAAATGACTTTGCTCTTTCTTTCTTCATTATATTGGCATTTTTCTAGCTTTTTCTTTAATTGTATGGACGTTCACTAGACGCGTAGAAGACCGACCCAGTCTCACGACAAGGTTGGTGAATCTTATTGTGACGTTTCCTCGCGTCCGAAATAAATAAACCAACAATTTAGTCACATCACTGCATGAGTTGACCCTGTACATGTACCCGAAACCTACAACACCGGTGAGTAGGTAAAGAATATTTAGGGACGTGAGACAACTCTTTTTAAAGAACTCGGCAAAAAAAAACTTTGTTTCTTCTAAAGGAGTGTCCCTCACAAAAGGGATAGCCGTAACCAGGCCCTAAAGTGGTAAGATCATGTATGAAAATATCATTTTTTAATATGATTAACTTATTATTAAAACTTTACTATATATAATAAAACTGATTATATTCCCTTAAAAAAAAAAATTTACCATAAAAAAAACTTTACCATAAAAAAAACTATCTTTTTTTACATATAATATATTCATGAAAATTTAATAAATTACTTAAAGTAAAAGAAACCTTAATTTTTATGCAATATATCCATAACAAATTAAAAAATTATTTAAATTATTCTAAAATTACTTAATATTTTTTATTTTAAAAATTAAAAATAATTTTATGCAAATTTAATGAAGAATGTCATCAAATTAGTATGAATTTAGCTTTTGAAACAACACTACTTTTTAAAACTTCCCCTTTATGAAAGTCTCAAGTCAAATTAATCTCCTTTGAACAGAAAGACATTGCGTGTGAGGGAGAGGGAGAATTTCTTCTCATAATAATTACTCATACAATAATTTCAAGTGATTTAATACATCGCATCAAGAAAAGCACACTTAAATTCCAATCGTATCCCACGAGGGGACAAGCACAATATTTGTAAAATAAAGGTGTTACTACAAAATAACATATGCAGCCATCAACCTAAACCGTAGATATATAACCTAGCTACCCAAATTAAATTTGCACCTGGCATGGTTCTTTTTTAAAAATAATAATAATAATAACGATAATACATACATACATATATATATATATATATAAAGAACAAAAAAATAATCACACTTCAGTTCCTAGCAATAATGTTGCCTAGATGTGCAACAAACAAGTCATTCCAAATATCAGTAATTCCAGGTAAGCACCAGTGCATGCAATCATCATGTTTCTTTCCTCCAGCTGTGGAAGGATGAGCATCTGCCCTGAACTCACTCATGTGAGTTATCTCCAGTATATGGAAGCTGGAGCCTTTGAGGGCCTTGTATAGATGCTTGTTTACGAGCCGCGTCTCCACATTTGTTCCGTTATTTTTCACTGAGAAAAGGTCTTCAACCTATAAGTGAATCCGGAATTCAAAGCCACATCTTGTAGTTTTTGTGTTGAAGAACGGGAGTGAATCGAGAAGCCCCAAAGTTAAATGAAATTTTGTAGTGATGTAATGAGATTTACCTGTGGCGGCGACAAAGGTTGCAAGTGCGGACAAGTACCACCTTGGTTCCAGTCACCTCCTTCAAAATGTCTAGGGGATTGTGTCCGGAAGAATATGACTGCATTTGGTTTCATTTTTCCCTCCACAAATGATATCTAACATTTTAAAGCATATAAAAGTTAATGAAATCAACACAATAAATTTTAAAGGCATGCATGGTTAGCTGTAAATCATCTGTTTAAGTTCAAAATAATTCTAGTCAAATCGACCCCCCCGGGAAGTTAAGACAGTACAGTATTATTTGTAACTCTCATATTAGCATCTAAGATCCATCAAGTCAAGGGGAACACCACTGTTTTGGCCCCTTAAACTCTTACAGAACTCTTCCACCTTTCATTTTCTCATCCCTAAAATTCTATTTGGGATAAATCCTGGAACCACAAACTAGCAAATGGCCCCAATTCATTTCATTAAATGAAAACTTTCATTTACAATTGACAGCAGAATGCATTACCAAAATAATTTCCAGGACCTACTTTTCCAAAGTAGTACTGAAAGCAATACACAACCAGTTCAGAACCACTTTTGTCCTGTGTTACTTAAACTCTTCTAAATTCAATATTAAGCACCTAGCAAGCATATCCAGTGGTTCAAATTTATAACATAATCATATATATAACTCTCATATTGTGCTTCTCTTATTACATTATTGCTTCAAAATGAGTGGAGTTCACTCTGTTACATAAAAACACCATTTTTATAATAGAAAATAAGAGAGAATATATAAATATTAAGCAGTGCCACGTCCTTAGATTTGTGCATCTTATAAACACTTAAGACACTTGGCACATAGCCACACCCAACGGTAGAGACCCTATAATATGGCTTTTGTCATTAACATCGTAAGGAAGACCAATTTTCCATATTCATTTGAACAAGTCTGATTTTCTGCATTCTTGCAGTCATCTCAGCTCTTGAGTGAGGATTTAAATATGAAACTGATTGAGGATCAGAATGTATCAAGGATGCCCAATCTAGCACACATGACAAACAAATAGCTGAACCAAACATACAACCTACATAAGCTCAACACGGCAAAAACTAGGGCAACGGGTATTTCTGACCATCAATTTTTTTTTTTTGATAAGTTCTGACCATCAAATTTGAAAGTGATATTTAGGTGGTCCGATATTTTATTAAGAAAAACCAATAAAAATGGTCCATAATCTCAACTGATCTGGTACAACCTTGATCGAATATATAGTAGGTGGTAGGTGGTGACACACCACAACCAACCTAATTGATGATCTTTAGGCATAGCCCATCAAGTCCTTGGTCCTGAACCAAAAAACGTGTGCCATGCGATCATGTGCGGTGATTAAAAGAACATGCTTCAGGCCCAATAGTCCATATCAAGATATCTGCACTAACTTCTACACTCTGATTGCCTATATTCAGGCTTTCCTTCTATAACATAAACATCATAACATTAATTTTGGCCTATAAAAGAGAAACTTTATTAGCCTTTAAACAAGACTCTAGGCCTCAGTCAACAGAGTGAAAACAATTTCAATTATAAGAATTACTTTAAAATGTATTAACAAATCAATCCATGATTGCTGCTACTCCAAAATACTTCAACTTTGCAATTTAAATCCCACTATGACATTCAAGTTGTAAATGGCACAATATGAACACATTTTTGTTATATTGTTAAACAAACTTCCAATAGAAGGAATTCTAGTAGTTCATTATGGTGGACTTTTTCCCTATTTATTATTGTGGACTTAAAATCTCAAGTTTGCAAAGTATTGACTAGAAGTACAAGAAGTCCGGTAAAGTCTCTCTCTTTAGAGCATAAACATAATCCCAAATACAAGTAGTCAATATGGAGATTTTCTAATATCTGATTCAGAATTTTAAAAGGGAGAATGGTGTAATACCATGTGCTTTAAAACCATTTCGAGAGCATCATGAGGAGGTATTTGAGGCATCACAGGCAGGCCCTTTTCAAAGAAAAGCATAGGTGATTTGACAGGGTCAAACTTTGAAGGAGCCCACCACCTGAAATAAGAATCATACATCCAAATAACTACTCCGGAAGATATACTACAAGAATTCGTTACCAACACAAACAAGATATAGCCACATAAGCCAATGGTAAATGTCACTGCATTATGAAACATGTCACTTATGGTCTCTCCATAAGCAGTCATCCATAATATCAAATAAATGTTTTTCGCAATTGGTTAATTAAACATGGGCTATAGTCATAGTGATCCCCCTATTCAACCACTTTGATCATTTCCAAACACACTACAGCATTTTCAGGGCATCTGAAGCTACAACCATTTATGTATAATTCAATTTTTCATGCACCTTCCTTCCAGTGGGATTCAAAGATAAAAATCTTTCAATGGCTCATATACCGACCCCTCTCACTTCCCCTCCAAGGGGTTTGAGAGCTTTGATGCAACAATGAGAAGAAAATGTGCCATCCCGAATAGGGAAGGATAGAGAATCGAACTGGCAGACACATCTCTCTCAATGTGGTAGATGCATACAAGTAGCACTTGACAGTCCACAGGTCTAGCATTAGTTTACCATATAAATACAACTCAAGATACTTTGCATTAAGCAAGATGTATGCATTTGCCAACTGTATAAAGAAAAAAAGAATGCCATCCTAAATTTCCAAGTCAGCAATTTAACCTATGTAATATAGGGTTGCAAGAGGAAAACAATACCAGTGTCCTGTGTTAAAGACGATAATATCATGGAAACTTGGTGCTTCTGCCCATGTTCCTTCTGGTATATCAATGTCAACTCTATAACCCTCTTTATATCCAAGAGATTCTAATACACTGCCATTAGCATTGGCTGACCACCTACAAAATACAGAAATGAAGAATACCAACATTAGACGGATTTAACACATAAAACAATTTACATAAAGGCTGCCCAAATCAACAAACTAAGGAATTAAACACGCACCATATAATAGATCCAACAAAATATCAGTAACGAAAGTCTACACAATTTAATGTCCATAATGCACATAGAAGAAGATAGGAATACTATATGCAATCACCATTCTTTTTCTCTAGCAAAAAGAAGTTTAATGAACATGTCAACCAGACATCATGCGCCAGCTCCATGATAACATAACAGCACAACTGAAATCATCAAGACGCTTAGCAGAATGACTCACTCATCATGCCAGAGGAAATTAAGTAAAAAATCAGTAATCCATTATGATTCCCTCAAACTCAAAGTTGAATAATTATAATTCTTTTGACCACCAACCAAGTTTCATGATTAAGAGTCAAATGTCCTGCACAACAATACCAGCAAAAATTTTATATTCCATTAAAATGATGCCCATGAATCAAATCCATGTGAAGATTTGCTATTTTCACAAATCAGTAACTATGATTTCCTCAAACTCATATAATTCTTTTGACCACCAACCAAGTTTCATGAATAAGGGTCAAATATCCGGCACAACAATACCAGTAAAAATTTCAAATCCTCTCAAGAGCTAAGCACACGTACATAAGATTTGAATTGGATCACTTAGAAACCTCAAACCTCTGCACCTGAAAATATTATTCACATAACCTTCCTCCATCTGGAAAAAAATTTCTCCGCTTGGAATATGGTCACGGGTTAACCACCCATCTTTTGCATAGAATACAAACAGAATCATTACTTCTTGAGAATAGAACCATCTGATCAGAATATCATGTTTTCTGAGCTCGTCCAGTAATATACACAAGAATCGCTCCTTCGTCACAATTTACAGAGCAGTTGAGAGGCCCCTGATGCATAATTTTTCTACTATACTGTCTTGATTAAACAACATACTATCCAATAGGAATTCACATCTTCAGTATATACTGTCATTATCATTATCCAGCTCTCTATCTAGAAGGCCCTTACAATAATAAATTAATTCCTGTCCATAAAATATGGTCATATAGGAAAGCAGGTGGAGGAGATGGAAATACATAATCGTATATAAATTGTCTAAAACCTTAGAATTTGGTAGCTTCCCTCAGACAATGCTTAAATATTTTGCAACAATCTCTTAGAGAACTGCAGCTACAACAAAAAGTAGTGTAATTTTTTCCCATTTGAAACTCACACATCCACTTTGCCCCTATGGGGACTTGAACCCTCAACTTTCTACTTTGTAGCAAAGCAGCTGACAGTGAACATGTCGTAATAGTCATATGAATTATATGTTCATCAACAAGTGAACCTTCTACTATAACCAGAGTCCAGCCAAGGTGATAAACAACAGATTATGAAACCAAATTCTTATGTGAGGCCAAGTTCTGTAAAAGTTGGATAATTGACCTATTTCAACAGAATTTTATTATGAATTAAATGGAAAAACGTGAACAACCGCAATAGTCAAAATTACTTTAAAAAGACATTCTCCATAGGCTCATTGATAAATGTGGTTGAATAAAAAATCTCCGGTCCTTAACCAGTCCCAACGACAAGCATACATGCCCAATCATAGTTTTGTCCAAATCTAAAGAAGTGAAGAAATATAAGATGTGCAGATATCTGTTAGCAACATGTCTTCAGTAAGAATATCACATAATTACCATATGTTAGTATAATCAAACATAGCTTACCTACCATAACGGGCCAAAAGATTGGTCCGATGATACGCAATGGTAAGGTTATACTGAAGAAAGGTAAAGCCACGGTCAGCTCCAGCGGGACGCCACTTTCTCACTTCAGCAGACACTCGTTTCAAAGTGCAGAAAAGAGAAACAAACATATTCCTATTTAACGAGTCACCAACAAACCCTGCACTGTTAAAAATTCTTAAGGTCTACAAACAGCACCATGAGACTATAAACAAAATTACAAAGAAAACAGATCACATAATCAGAAAATATTATATATATATATATATATATATATATATATATATATATATATATATATAGCTACTCAGTTCCGTTGATGTTTGATAAAACTAAAAACTAATTACTGAAAACTTAAATGTTAATTATAAATTGAGAACTTCTTCTATACCTCATTGACTTTTAAGCATCCAGCGTTAAATGAAGTCTAATTATATAAAATTTACTTCTTTGAATTGGAACTAATTCTTTTGCGTGGTATTCAAATTACATTATTAAGTCATGAATTGAACTATCAAATGCTCTTGATTGAATAATTACTTAGTTTATTTAGAATTAAGTAATGAATAGTGTTCTCAAACAACCTAATTAATCCTAAACAACAATATTTTATCAGCTTAAACAAAAACATCAAGTTATATACAATGCACCAAATGTATATGACGACATTAGTGCTAGAGAGAGAAAGTACCAATATTGGTGTTTCTGTAGCGTTCAAGAAACCGAAGTGGATCGAACGGCGGGAGATCACAGTGACTGGGCTTCCACCGCCACTTGATGAGATCAAGACCGTTTGATTTGTTGCTGCCAATGCAATTCCAACCTTTGTATATCTCCTTACAGGTGTTGTCATACCGCGAAGATCTGACTGTAGGATCGTAGATCCACTCTCCATCGGAGTAATCGCACGGTGATTCATTCAATGCTTCGTTCTTCGTTTTCGTTTCGGATTGTTCAGATTCGAAGCTTCGGTGACGGTGGTGGGGAGAGAGAAGGGTGACGGTGGACGAATATCGGAAGAGAGAGAAAGAGAAGAAGAGAGACACGAGGCAGAGTAGAGAGAGAAAGAGGAAGTAGCTGTAGCAGGTTGAGGAAAAGAAAATGGAGTGCTTCTTTGATTGGTGGTCTCTTGCGGCCATGGAGGGTTGTGATCTTCAAAACCCGCGCAAATTAGCACCCATCCCTCGCAAATTAGCAATGGTGGGACTAGATCTAGAGAAGGTCTTGTTTGAGTAATGGGTTATACCAATAATAATAAATAAAAAATCTAATAATTCTAATCTGTTATATACTTGTAAAATAATAATAATTTAAGAAAAATAATTTTTACACTAAATAGTTACCTAAATAGTTACAGTGAATTATTAAACATACTGGTCTTGTTTGAGTGATGGGTTATACCAATAATAATAAAAATAAAATAAAAATCTAATAATTCTAATCTGTTATATACTTGTAAAATAATAATAATTTAAGAAAAATAATTTTTGTACTAAATAGTTACAGTGAATTATTAGACATACTTTTTTAATTGGTCAATTATGTAACAAATAAATAAATGGAACCCTCCACTTAGTTGTATTTGGTATAAATAGACAATTAAAATTTATTTTAGGCAATTTAGTGCAAGTCTTTAGCTATAAGTATCACTTCTTTTAATAAAGAAGTGTTCGGGTATAAGTATCACTACTCTCATTCTAATAGGCATATAAAGTCAACAAATTATCCAAGAAAATAATAATAATTCTAATTCTAATTCTAAACTCTAAATCTCTATATAAAATTTAAAGTAATTTGCACTCACACCTTTTGAGTTTTGAGTTAACACCACTCAGTGATCGGTCAACGCACTAGTTTATATTGACACCCCATGTGGTTTCAAAAGTCATATTTATTCTTGAATCTGTTAATTGACAAAACTAACCCTAATCAAAATTCTGTATTTCTTCTCACCGACCACCGCCACACCCATACACCGCTACCGCCACAGCCACTGCATGTCGCCACAATCAAACACGCCGCACCCGCCGCCAAAACCATCACAAACACAGCTACAACCCCCACATCACCACAACCACACAACACAACGCCACACCACCCACGACACCATATCCACCGCTACACGTAAACACGCCACACCCCACACCGCCACACGCACAATGCCACAGGGTTAAAGAAGACAATCGGTCGCACCTACACACACACACACCACCACAACCACCGCCATACCCACAAACCCATACATTGGCTGAGCAAGTTGTTAAACCACCAAGCAAGATCTAACCCTACCCACGGTGAAGAGAAGAACGACGATTAGGTGGTGGCAACGAACTGGATCGTTTTCATCCTCATATCACCACCATATGCACTTTCACACTCTCCACGGGCCACTACAAGTAGATCTAACATGCTTTTCACGCGCTCTGCATCACCTTCTTCTTCAGTAATTCTAGTCTTCTTCACACCCTCTGCGATCATCACCAACTCTCTGACGCCGATAAGCATCAAATAAGCCGCTGCCCTCTACAGTAACCTTCTGCCACTACTGTTAGCTGTCTTCTCTACATCATCAACACCACCAAGGTTCTCCCAGTGTATGGACGTTAATCCTTACCGATGGACTCCTATCCTTTAATAAAGAATTACAACAGTGCAAACAAATAAACAAGTCTTAGCCACTACCTCCTCTTTTGGAGGAAGTGCGAAAAGAACTAAAAGTGAACCTTGGAGGATATAGGTGAATTGTGTAGGGTTAGAGAAAGAATGTAAAATAAAGGGTATTTTTGTAATATCCCTAATTTTAAAAGGATAGTCTCAGTATTTATGTATTTGTTTTAATTATATTTTTAATTGTTTAATTGATTTTGTTATTTGCTTATGTGTTTAATTGAATTAAGTGTTACTTGATTATTTGGATTATGTGTCTTTGTGTTATTTGTTTAATTAGATTATGTGCTTAAATAGTGTTTTGATTAATTTTAATTAATTGTAAATTAAATATTTTATTTTATTTTATTTTATTGTTATGGTTAGTAGTAATAGGCCAACAAATTAAGTTTTATGGACTACTTGGATAAGAGGTTTAATAGGTATGGATAATTACCCATGGATAATTGTATATATATAGAGAGAGAGAGATATATATATATGTATATATATAGAGAGAGAGAGATATATGTATATACATATAAAGGGGAAAGTAATTTATAAATTACTTTTATGACAACTTGGGTATTAATATTTAATCTAATGTATTTACTTTATATATTTATATAATAAAAATATACATAGATTATAATATTATGGTAACTTAAGTATTATTAGATAATTTGTTAATAAATAATGGGATGTATATAATTTATTTATTTAATAAGGATTTACATAAATTATATACGTAACATATTTTACGTTACTTTGTTAATATTTTAATTTTAATTTTTTAAGTTGACTTGGATTGGAAAAAGGATTAGGGTTATTTTATTTAGTCTATAAATACATAGCTATAGGTTGTAAAAAAGTGGGCTAGAAATATTTCACGTAATATATTCTAGAGAAAATGAGTTAGAGAGAGAAGGAGGAAGAAGAAGGAATCAGGAGAAAACCCTTTAGAAAAGAAGATCAAGGAAGAAGAAGTTTAACTTTCGATTCGAAAGTTTAAGGCAAGTTCTTCTTCTATCTCTCTCCCTTAGATTTGTGTTTCTATACATGCCTAGGAGATTCCAGGAATTTTAAACACATAAAACTAAATAATTATGCATATTTAATTGGATTAGAACATAGGTTTTATGAATTTGGTTCATAGTGTTCTTATTGTATGAATTGTTAATTCATGAATTTAATCTGGTTTGTTTTATGATTCTTACGTGTTTAAATTATGTAATTTTCATATCTGAGGATTAATGGAACGTAGAAACATGCCTAGGATTCCTGAAACAAATAAGGAATGAATTCACAGTAAAATTCTAGATTGAATCGCATAAACAGGGTTTGAGTCGTCGATACAGTGCTCGAGCCTTGGGGACCAAGCTCGAGCCATGTAAGGAAATCTCGAGCCTGTAAGGAAAAGCTCAAGCAATTGGATGTAAAGCTCGAGCCTGAGAAGGAAAGTTCGAGCAATTAGGATAAAAAGCTCGAGCCTGAAGTAGGATGCTCGAGCCTTGAACAGGGTGCCTGAGCATTTAGGACAAAAGCTCGAGCATTACCTGGAGAAGTTTCGTAAACAGCGTAGTATTACTTCCTGTTGATTTTGAAGGGTCCTGAACATTAAATAGGAACTAGGTTTGAGTTTAAATAAATTTAAATAGACTCGATCATAATGATGTTTGCTACTTGAATGTTTTAAATAAACGAATGGATTTAATCTTTTAAAATGTTCTGGCAATTGAGATTAAATGTGTAGGATGAAATGGATATGGAGAATGCTTATTCGACGGTATAATAAAATATCATCATGCATAAAATTCAGTTTGTGTAGGACATATGATATAGGAAACTTAAATAAATAATAAGTCATTCCTATTATGTGATAACTTGATATCATATTATCATGATTATTTCTGGATTGTTTAATGTATTTCCTTAATTGTTACATCAATTGTTGGATTGTGTGGTTTAATGCACCGGTATGGGACGATGGCATTATAGGGATGGATTAACTTCTCAGTTAAGTCCGACCTATTTTGTATAAGGGAATTGATTAACTAAAATGTTAAGTCCTACTTATATTCAAGTCAAGTCAGCTGAACAAGTTGAATGACTTATAGATGATTACTTGTAGAGGATTAATTTATACTAGATTATATATATATATAATTATAGTGCCATGATATGAGCTCGAGTCTCAAGATCAGTGGTTAGGGCGCATATATCGCCAGGGATGTGTAGTTAGATATAGTGTAGTTGTATGCCCTAATAGGTCTAGGTACTCATGCCCACTATATGTGCGTTTTGCATGATGCCTAATATTCAGGTTGAGGCAACCCTATAGTCTAGTGAGATTCCTTTAGTGTGTGCGTGTGTATATATATATATATATATGGACTACTAGTTATTATTGGATTGACTAGGATGTATACGTGTATCGAATCACTGCTTGGATTGTAGTAGTGTAGAACTTGTTTGTGGGCCTAATCCACCATTATTTTTCAGGTGTTCGTCAGGAGTAGAGGTTGTTCGTGCTGAGCAGGGATCAGTCTACTTCACTCTTCTGGATTTTCTATATAGGAGTTTATTTTACGTTTTAGTTTTCTGATGTAGACAGTTATTGCTGTCACTTGTTATATTTTGGATTTTTCTAGGGGTCCACACAATATGGATTCCCGAGTTGCATTAATGGAAGATTAATTGTATCAGAATGTTTTTATTATTAATAAGAATTTATTCTGAGGATTTATTGGATTATTATTTTGGTTTTCTTTCAATAAATTATTTATTCCTATTTATTCTTTTGTACTCTGTGTTTATTTATTGCCGATTTGTTTTTGATATCCCCGAGCATTCGGTTGTGGGCCTGGCCAACCCGCATTCTGAAATTCGGGGGTATCATAGTTGGTATCAGAGCACTCTAGGTTCAAATGTCCTTAAGAGTGTCTTTCGTTATATGAATTCCATCTTGCGTCTCTTAAAACTTAGAGCCCATATTAGGATTCATTGTGCTCTATTTACGGTTCATTAGGAGGAGCTGATGTCAATTATATTCTATAGTTACATAATGGTTGACACTGGGATGAGGATTGGGTCCAAGGCGAAGGCGATAAAGACACAAAGGAGTAAAAGAGTACGTTAACTATTTCTTTGCCAGAAGGTAGAATTAGGAATCGAAGGTTTAGTTCCGGATAACGCTACTTTAAAGTATAAACTAAGGAAGGAGTTAATTGTGTGTGTTAGGTCACCACATCTTGGGGCCTACACGATTTCAGTTATTCTCATAAAGGAGAAAAGCAAAGAGGAGGAGTCTAAAGAGGATCCAAATGGAGGAGATTTCAGAGTATCCAAGCAAAAGGGTGCTAAATCTTGAACATGAATGATCGCGCAAGGGTGATCTTGTTTGCTAGTATTATAGCAAATGATATTAGTAGAATTGGTGTTGATTAATCTACAAATAATTAAACTTTCTTATCATCTCTAAAAGAGATATATAATAAGTACTCTTCAGGAGTTTAAGAATTTGATGAAGTTCTTATCAGAACGAAACGTATGATTTTGTATCACATTCAGGAGAGTATGTGATTATGTT